AGCTGGCAAAAGCCACAAAAAGTCGGCAACAGCGCCAGCCGCAGTCGGCGGTGGCGGTGGTGCTGATGGTTGATGGTGGTGGTGGTGGTGGTGGCAGTGGTGGCGGCGGTGCTGCTTGGTTATTCGCAGACGTTGGAGCCAACTTTGGCTGGAGCAAACAACAAGTTAAATCTCGAGACGTCATGTCACGTAGCTGCGCTACATGGACCATTCATACAAATTTTGTTTTATAAGCTACTTTTATGCATTATTTGTGTGTAACTTTGCCCATCCGTCCGTCCGTCTGTCTGCCCGTCCGTCCCTCCATCCGTTCGTGTTCCGTGTGTTTGTATCGCTGCTGTTTGCGAATCTCTATCTGCATCTGTCTTTCTGCCTTTGCTTGTATCTGTGAGTTAACTTTTTTACGCGTTCTTATACCCTGTACTTATTGAGTTGGCTGCCAGGGGCGTGCTGCACTTAACGAGGCAAGATGTAACGAGTCAAATTTTTGGATTGGTATGGCAGCCATAGTAGATATAGCTGGCAACTCGATGAAAGTCTATAAGAACTGTTAATGGATATGGCATATATAGGGTATCTGTTAGCATTGTTGTTTATCTGCCTTTCTCAGCACAGCCGCACATTGAAACGCAATATGCTCCAAATGGAACTCCTTGACAACATGATGTATGAGATTTTGCAAGCAAATTCAATAAGTGCTCTGAAATTTCATGGCACATTCGTTGCATCAATCAGAATTTGCAGGTGATTCGGACTCGAATTGTGGATACGGATGCACAGAAGATAGAAATGATGAGCAATTAAAATTCATGATATGACTGATATGAATATCATATTCATAATTATGATATTTCATGAATTTTAATTTTTCTAAGTCGCAATTTTCATAATATCTGCCAATATAGCAATATATCTATCTAACCCATTAACTTATTTAACTGATTATCATAACTCATCAACGCCATGATCATAAGTCATATTAAGCCATTGTATTTTTCCAATTCACATTAAGTTATATTCTACTACTCTCTGTCATATACAAATAATTTGTTTTGATGAATCTTTAGATGCACATTTTTTATATATTTTGATTATTTTGTTTTATTTTATTTTTTATTTATTTATTTTTTTTTTTTTGCTCTACTCTCAAGCCCGTTTATTTGCTCCTACGTAGGCTTTAGTTTCTAACCCACTTCAAGAATTTAGGCTAAACTTTTTTATTCGATCTATATATTTTATTTATTTATTTATTTATTCTAATAACAAGCCCGTTTTATTTGCTCCTACGTAGGCTTTAGTTTCTAACCCACATCAAGAATTTAGGTTAAACTTTTTTATTCGATCTATATATTTTATTTATTTATTTATTTACTTATTTTTATTTATTTATTATTATTATTTGTTTATTTATTATTTATTTTATTATTTAGTTCAGATTAATATAAAATTAAATCTGACTTTGGGCTAAGCACTAGCAGCAATAGCCTTCGACTTGATATATTTTATATATATTTTTTATATTCTATATATTTTCACATATTCTTCAAACATCCTTAAGTCAAGTCTTTCTCTTCAAGCAAACCACATTCAAACAGCTCCAAAAGGAGTTGCAAATATGCGCAAATAATAATTATAAAGTCAATTTTGCAAAATATAAAAGTAAAAACAAAGCCCAACAGCTCAGTTTCCGCTATGTTTGGCGCTCTCGCCCCACTGTGCGGCGTGTGTGCAGTGCTTGGGTGGGTCACGTAACGCGTTTAGTGCAAACGCTGCTGCTGATGCCGTTGACAAGGACAAGGACAACACCTACAAAAGCATTGTGGCTGCGGCTACTGGGCTAAACACGCGGCCAACACACAGCTAACTCGAGAACAGCAACACGCAGCAGCAGCAGCAGCAGCAGCAGCAACACGCAGCAGCAACAATAGCAACAACAGCAATGCAGCCAGCCCAAAAATAAACGCCGCCTGCAGGTAATGACAAACTGCGGCCCAACAACAATCGACACAGTACCAAGAAACACTTCCTGTCACGCCGCCAACAGTGCGACATCAGCAACATCTGCCCTGTCGCCTGCTGCTCGCGTTTTTTTTGTTGCTGTTGCTGCTGTTGGAGAGTGGGGCGCATTGTGATTTGTTGGTCGTTGTCTTTGTCATCGACATACCAAGCAAATGACCTTGCCAGGCGCTGTTGTCAGCAATGTGGTTGCTGCTGCTGCTGCTGCTGCTGCTCCTGCTACTGCTGCTGCTGCTGCTGCTGGCGACGCAACAAGTTTGGCAAACATTTTGCGCTTTGTATTTTAATTTGTGCTGGCTTTTTGGCTCTTTGGGAATTTGGCTTTGTTCGAATGCAAAGCGAAATCTTTTGCCAGAGTCAGCGATAAATTGCGTATATAAATAAATCAGTTTTTATCTTTTTGTTGCTTTCAAGTATGTCATTGCCTTGGCCAGGATGTCGACGCCAGTTACCACTTTCGACGCTCACCCACAGCTCTGAGCCGAGATTCGCTGACGCGCTGACTGACTAACTGTGTGAGTGAGTGACTGACTGACTGCATGCTGCCGGTGTTTGTTGTCACTGTCACTGTCATTGTCACTGTTGCTGTCACTGCCACTGTCACTGTCACTGCCACTGTCACGACTTGCTGTCAACGAATTGGTGAACTGTGACTCGGTGACTCTGTAACCCTAACAGTGAACCTGCAACGCTATAAATTTCATGCCACTGACAATGCCAACAATTGCATTGCCATTTTTTATATGCCCAGCAATAGCACCACACAGCCACCACACAAGCACCACACAGCCACCACACAGCCCCAAGCTGTGACCTTAAGTGCATGTGTATGTGTGCAAATTAATTCATCGCCGATAAGACCCTGTTAATGTATCGCCTAAGCGATGGGCGGAGCAGCAGGGCCGCTTCTGGCCAGCCCCTCATTAACTTTGGCCGAGTGACCAAGTGCAGATGCATCCTGCTGCTGATAGCTGGCTGTGTTGGCTAAATCGCTGCACATTAAATGCAATTAAGAAATGATTGAAATCATAAATTAGCCCTAATTGGCCATAGGAGGCGAAGATGAGCCCAAGCCTAAAGCAGCCGCTGCTGCTGCTGCTGCTGCTGCTACGATTGCTGCCGGCATTGCTGCGCCGTTCTCCTGCTGTGTGCCACAGACGACGCGTCGGCACGTACTCGAACAGGTTGAACAAATTGTAGGGTGTACTGTAGGCTGTATTTTTAGCTACCGTCACGGGAACAGTGGAACTCATTATCAATTTATTGTCCCATTTAATGCGAATAGTGCTCTGAGTTTGGTTTTCTTAATAAATTCCATGAATGACTTCATCGAAAGCGATTCTAGAAATTGTTGTGACTGAATATTCAATTAATTGCATTATTAAAACGAAATTAAGTACTTAACACAGGGCTTTTAATTTCTTTAATTTAATGTATATATCATACAATATAAAAACAGAAATCTTTATTTCACAAATAAATAATGTAAATTATACAAAATATATTTACCTTAAAAAAAAAAAAAAAAAAAAAAAAAAAAAAAAAAAACGAATAATTTTAAATTCGTTATTAGAGATAAATAAATATATAAAAGTTTTTCTTGTGAAACTTTTTTTAAATACAAAATATAATAGTAAAAAAAAAAAATAAAAAAAAAACTGTTTTGAACAAAATTAAGCAAAACACCTTTAACATTTTAAAAATTTTTTAATAAATTTAGAGTTAAAAATAATATCATTAACAATAAGTCTTAAAAAAAACTTCGCTGCATAAGAAAATACCTTGAAATAAAATAAATAAATATACTTAAGAAGCCCAACTTTTTGTATTTATTTAAAAAAAAATAAAATAAAATAAAAAATATAGTAATAATAATACAAAAAATAAGATTTAAAACAAATATAAAAAATATGACTAAATATATCCATATATATTTTAAGCCAAATTATGAATCTAATGAGTACTTATTTAATTTTCTATATATATTTTTTTTTAAATTATTGTACAATTTTCTTTTGATTACCTGCATTCTGCATTTATATATATATTTTATATATAATACTAAATGAATTATTAAATTGTATATAAGAGACATAGTTACATTATATGAAGAAATAAATTGTTGAAATGCATCCAGGCCTCTTATTCATATTTTTTATATATTTTATATACAATTCTTCAAAATTCATAGAGTTTTATATATTTTATACCCAATTTAAATTTTAAAATGCGTTGTGCCCTCTTACATTTGAGTAGTTCGTTCCCGCATAGTGTTTGCTGCCGATGCATGTCAGATCATAAACCATATAGATTAAAGATCTCGCATTGACATTATTTGGCTTAAGCTGCCAGTGTGCGTAGTTGGATGAATTTTGACGGCGATTTGTCAGCGGCGCGAACGGATTGCAAAGCAAACACGGCAAAAGAGAGGCGCAGCCTAATTGCCCAGTTAGCAACCTGCTGATGCCCCGCCGCTCCGCCCCCAGCACCGCCCATGGCCACAATATGGACAGCAACACACACACACACACACCTGTAGAGAGTCACGTGTGTGTGTAAGTAGATGAAATTAAGATTTTTTTTTTACGTTTTTTTTTTTTTTGATTAAGCGTTGAGAATTTTTGACGTTGCCGTCGCTGCCGCAGTCGCTGTCGCCGGCTCTGCTTTGATTCGACGCCAACGGCAACAGCAACGCCAGCTGACGCTATCATCCCAATTGGGCCGCAGTCGCGTCCCTGCTGCTTAAATTGTTGCCGCGGTCACCGACGCAGGCTGCCTGAAAGGCAGGCAGACAGCAGCAGCAGACGTCGCTGCCGCAGAAGCTGGCATCGTCGCAGCGGCTATAAAAAGCCAATGTTACGCAGTTTCCGAATTAAACAGTTAACACAACAACGCGACAGCGGACCACGTACACCACCAACAACAGAACCATCACCGGCTACACACACACACACACACACACACCTACTCCTTTCCCACACCAACACACACACACACATGATGGTCCAGGAGTGCAGATATCAAACGCTGCTACTCGCGCTGCTCATCTTGCTCGTGCAACAGAGCACAGCCGCTCCAGCTCTTAGGGAATACCAAGAGCCGCAGCCTAGAACCGTCCGTCTGCTAGATCGCTTCAATCATCGCTATCCGGACGGCAGCTACGAGTTCCGCTTCGAGCTGGACGACGGCACGGCACGCTACGAGCGCGGCTACTTCGCCATCATCAACGAGGTGAAGACGCTGATGGTCGTCGGCTACTACTCCTATCGTATGCCCGACAACCGTTACATCACCGTCTTCTACAATGCAGATCAGTTTGGCTATCGACAGAATCAATGTAAGTAGTCAAGACTTGACTTTGTCTGATATATATTATCGTCAAAAGCTCTCCCTAATAGCTAACTAAATGGTAGATTTGTAGTTAGTTGAGGTAACTATTTGTGTTTTTTTTTTTTTTTCAATGCAGCTAGAGAAGCTTTATAGTTGATCAGATATGTGCCATAGATAGATTAGCATTGCCTTAATCAAGTCAATTAGAGTCATAGCCTCAAGTAGAGTTCAGTACGAAAGAAATGTTTTTTAATTTTTATTTTATTTCATTTTATTTTATTTTTTATTTTTTTTTTTTTGTATATAAAAAATTATTTTTTTTTTAAATTTTTTTTTTTATTATTTTATTATAATCCATTTTTTATAACTTGTTTTTTAAAGTGTCCGAAATAAAAGAAATTCAGATTTTTTAATAATTTTATTTATTCATTTATTTTTATTTTTATTATTTTTTTTTTTTGTATTTATTTATTTTTTATTTATTTTTTTTCTTTTTTGGGAAACAATTTTATTTGTTTTAATCTCAAAGCTTATAAAGCTGTTCAGCAAGGGAAAAAATTATATTTTTTTTCTGAGAAAATAATGAGTTTTTAAAAATATTTTATTTTACTAAAAAAATATAAGAGGCTTAAGATATATTTATTTTTTATTATACATTTTTTTTTTTTTTTTTTGCGAGCAATAAATTTGTAATCTCAGTTTATAGCCAAAATCTAGTATCATATAGTATCAAAACTTTAAGTGCCAGTATTTTGCCATAGCAATATTTATATTCGAGCTCGTTAGACGAGACATAAAAGAAATAAAACGAATTTGCCTAAATGTTAACGTCTTGTGCTCCCTCTCTCTCTCTCACTCCATCTCACTCTCGCTCTCTCCATCTCCGTCTCATATAATTGGCAATGAACACAGCCATCACACCTGAGGTCTATCCCAATTTGCCGCGCTCCATTGAGGTACCCATGCTCAAGGAGTCAAACGAGCTGCGACAGCAGACAACAGCGCAGCCACAATACAGCCGCAGACAGCCGAGCACCACCACCAGCACCACCAGCACCTCCAGCAGCTCCAGTAGCACCTCCAGCAGCGTCAACTACGCCAGCTCCTTGCCCAAAGCGACGTCGCTGCCCACTCGCAGGGGCCGCTACTGAGATATCTGGTTGGTGCGTAATTACAGGCTCTCAGTTTTTGTGACTACTTATATTGTATTATTATGCTTTAAAAGGTGATTTTCAGTTTTTACTTTTTAATTTATTTTTTTCATATTTTTATGCACTTTTTTTTTTTTGTAAAGGAATTAAAAAATAATAAAAATTTATTAAGGCAAAAGCGAAAATTATGAATTTATTATTGACGACGTTGTGATCTGTTTTTGGGTTTCTTTTTATTTTTAATGGCCAATAGGCCAATGGGTCCGGCGGGCAAGGCGGGTCCAAAGCGCTGCCCGTCCGAGCAGCGATTATTCGCGATATTTCGAAAGCCGCCGACAATTTGGCAATAAATTCACCGCAAAGCGGCTCTGGCAATAAAACATGCTCGTACAAGTGCAAAAATCTCTGACTCTGTTCTCTGTGTGCGAGTGGCAATATCCGATGGCTTATACAGATACAGATACATATATATATAAATATTCAGAGATATACGTATATACGATATATGATATATACGTATATGCATATGCAACGCGAATCGCTAGTACAATCAAGCGGCAGCAAATACAGTTTCGGGGTCGGTTTCGGTTTCAGTTTCAGTTTCAGTTTGCCGTTGCAGTTACTGTGGCAGACCCTGGCCGAAGTGTGGGCATGAAGGTCCGTCATAAATTTGCAAGTGCAGACGGCTGCCAATTGGTTAGCCTCGACCCGGGCTGCCACAACGTTGTGGCAAGCAGCGCTCTCGCCTTATCCCAAAAACAGATCTCGGCTCCATCGATATCAAGTCGTAAAGTAAAATTATGAGCACTTTAATGCCAAGCGATTCATATTCCGATTGCCTGTTTAATTGCAATCAGAAATATTTGCACTCATGCCATAAACGAGCACTTCAGCAATCGTTAAGTCCGACGACTATCAAATCGGATTACAAACTCCCTAATTGATGTCCGTGTGCGAACATTTACACGAAAACGTGATATCGCCAGCGATATGAATCAAAGTCAACGAATGATGCTACCGCTGTAAATTATTCAGAGAATTCACTTAAATTGCTTTTTCGCTTCTTATCAATGCATTTCTCATCGCAAATGACTAATGGCATATATGCTGTAAATGTGATTTGATCATAACCAATTGAAATTATTTGGGAATTATAGCAATGCATTAGGCAGTGTGAAGCAATGAAATGAGTGACAAAAAAGAAATAATGTATTTGTGATTTAATAATATATAATACGAATCATTTTATTGGAAATATCTTTGAAATTTTCTGCACGAATTGTGAGAGCAGTGAATGGATTGGTTTATAAAAAGTCTGCTAAGAGATTTACTAATAGGATTGTATTCAGAAACAAGATGTCTATGGAATAAATCATATGTGTTCTTGAATTTAAAGCTACTTCAATGGTCTTGAATTATTATATTATGTCATTTCTATCATACATAAAATAAAAATATAGCTGAGATCTATTTTTTTTTTTTTCAAGTGTATATATACTTAAGTTCGTGATACGCCTTAAAAGAATTCTTGGTTCATGAGGGCAAGATTTATTCTGTCTAAGTATGTCCGCAATGTCTATAGAAATACTTTAGAATTTGTACTCTTCACAGAAATAACTTATTCAGATACCGTTAGGATAGCCACTACCTCATCTCTATTACCTGTATTACCATTTACTCGAAAGATTTTTTCGACTCATACTAATTATAAACTTTTCCTTAACACTCCGTACCAATACATTTTCTAAAAACGTACTGTACATAAAAAACTACCCTCTAAGCGTATTTTATATAGCCAACCTCAAAAAAAAAAAAAAAAAAAAAAATACCCACAATACGAGACGCCCTCCTCTAGAGAGAATTGTTGCTTATACCTTCTATTAAAAGTTACGCTCCATTAAAAAAAATATCATCTATGAAAACATTTTTTGGGGAAAGCCCCCTTTAAGGAGACACCTCTCATAAAGAAAATTACCACGTAATAGAAAAAAGTCCTCTACAAACCCTCTACCCTATACAAATACCTTCTGTAATGAACTACCCCCCCTACGAATACCGCCTATAACGCTAAGCCCCCTGCAAATAGCCACTCGAAAGAGACTTTGGCGCAGACTATTGCACTTTATTTGCAATTCATAAATCTTCAAGCTGCCGCGCTCAAACTGTGAGTGAATTCATTCATGGAGTCAACAAATGTCTGGCTACGTATTTATCTTTGGGATAAACTGTAATTCAGAATTAAATGTGGCATGCACTCTCTACGCAAGGCCAATTAAAATTACAGCTGCGAGTGGATGGGACTTTATTTAAATTAAGACTTAAGTGAATAAACTGTGGAAATTTAGTTTGGAGCTCGTATGCTCCATTAAAAATCGCTTTGTCGAGGCTCGTAAAGGGCTGCGCATGTAAATGCCACAATAAAATTAAGAAATGAAGTGGTCCGTCCATAAAAGTGCAGATATGCTCTCTCTCTCTTTCTCTCTCTCTCTCTCCCACTCTCTGTCTCCCTCTCTCTCCATGGTAAGGATGGGCAGGGATTTTCGCGGGGGTCTTTGGTTGGCTAAGTTTGACTGCGCTGCCGCTTGTTTTCGCGTGCGATATCAAGCCAAAAACTTTTCGCACACAAAACGAACAGAAATTGTCGCCGTCTGCAGCGAAAAGACAAAACTGTGAAAATAACCAGAAAAAAAAAAACAGAAAAAATAAGAGTGGAAAAGTAATCATAAAACAACGGCATAAAATGTAGCTAATCAAAAAAATTAAATTAAAAAAGTACCAGAAGCACAACCAGAAGAGGAAGAAGAAGAAGTAGAAGCAGAAGAAAAAGTAAACTTCGTGAAGCTGCCGCCATAAAAGCAACACTTGATGCAGGAAACTGGTTGGGCAGCGGAAGGAGACGGAATATTGGTTTGCCGGATAGTCAAAGCCAAGACTTTGCTCCACTTCTAATGAAAAACTAATCAAAGTGGGCACACATGATGACCACTGAGATGCCCTAGGAATAGTTGTGGAGGCAGCATTACAAACAGGAAGAATTACGTTGCTAGTTCAGGGCTCACGACTTACGGAGAACTGGAATGCGGATAGTCCGTGCATACCTCTTGGCCTCTGCCAGGGTATTTAAAGAAAAGCCATGCTCAAACAGCAACTTGGCAAAGTGCTAAAAGCGTCTTTTGAGCTTAGCACCAGCCGAGGCACAGTGGACAGCCGGACAGCTGGACAGCCGGACAGCTGGATAGCCGGACAGCCGGATGGCTACATGGAGTAGTTAAAATTATCAATGAAAGTTTACAATCACGGCACGGGGCACAAAAAGAATTGAAACTCCGAGTGCGAACCAAAACTAAGTGGCAAGTGACGACGGAAGAGGAGAGAAGAGAGAGAAAGAGAAACGGAGAGAGAGAGGGAGTGAGAGGGGAAACAGAGAGTGACTGCTCAAATGATTCAGCGCCAATGAGCTGAACAAAGTTAACAAAGTTGCAAAGATGCAGTTGCTCTAGTAGTTGTAGTTTGTTAACTTTGCCCCCTATTAAAGCCAGCGCCAAGCTCAGGCTAAGCACACGCACACGCACACACACACACACACACACACTCACACGCATGCATTAAGAGTTTGGCATAGAATGACATGAACTAACGAGCAGCTGAGCTGGGTAAAAGAATCAACTTGAACTTTGGGCACACAATTAAGAACTTAGACTCGGCCTTTAGTAAATATGCCGGAGCCGGAGACGGAGCCGGAGCCGGTGCCATGGGCCTGGCCACTATTCTCATTAAATGTCCATCACCTGGCGTTGGGCGCACGGTTAAAAATATCTTTCACAAAAAACAACAACAACGAGAAGAAGCAGCAAAAAACAATCTTGAATATTTTAAATTTTGCTTTTCGCTTGTATAATCAAAACGCAATAAATATTGCAAATGCGACAAAGTAGCCAAAAGTTGACCCCCGGACTCGAACGTGGCCAAAGCCCATGAAAGTGAAACAGGACCCCGAAACCAAATCCACAAGAAAAAAATAAATAAAATAAAAATAAAATGAACGCCAGGAAATGGCTGCAAAATGTTTGCATGCTGCGGTAACACGACAGCTAAAAAAGCAAAAAAAAAAAAAAAAAAAAAGAGGAAAAAAATGTAGAAAGCAGTGCCAAAGGATAAAGAATAAACAAGGCGCGCAAAAATGCGAGGCGCGTGGCACTGGGGGCTGGCCGCTGGGTGGGTGGCTGGGCGGCGGGTGTTAGGTGTTTGACAGTGGGTGCGAATACACGCATACATACAGCTAGACACACATACAGCTATATAGAAAAAAATTAAATATAAAATGCAAAAATGGCTTTTAAGCAGCGAAAGCCGCGTTTACTGCTGTCTGCCCATAGCTCCACAATTTTTTTTTGCTTCTTCTTTTTTTTTTTGGGCCAACTGGAGAAGGCTGTCTCTGGTCTCCAGTGTTTGGGGGCGTGCCCCGCAAACGCGACAGAATGTGCTAAAAGGACATCGCTGTTGCCACTGTGACGGCATGCCTGAACCACTTTGGTTGACTCTCTCTCTGTGTGCTTGTGTGTGTGTTTGTGTGTGTGTGCTTGTGTGTGTTTGTGTATACACTTCATCAGCGACCGCAGCAAAAGGCAACGGCTATAAAATAAAATACCAAACGCAAAAGTATGAAAGCAAACTGAGCAGTAACCATCAAAAAATATCAGGGCTGCGCGCATAGAGGAGAGACTTTTCCGCTCAGGCATCATATATTTTATTATCATCTAGATGATTTGACTGGCCATGTAGAGACATATAATGCGAACTTAGAAATATATGGATTAATCTCATTATACGACTCTATAAAACTATGAAATTATTTGAAAACTAGAAAAAAGGACACAGGGGTTCAAAAAAATTATATTTAATATTTAATTGAGACAAATAAAAAATCGAGCATTAAAATTACAAAAAATAAACAATAAATAAAATAAAATAAAATAAAATTAAATTAAATTAAATTAAATTAAATTAAATTAAATAAAATAAAATAAAATAAAATAAAATAAAAGGAAAACAAAATCCAAATCGAATGTAAAAAATATTCTTAAAATAAAAAATGAATAAAGAAAAACAATTCAATGTAAAAAA